TTATTTTTTTCTATAAATGTCGATAAAATGTCTTTTGCTAGGTATAAAATTGTCAAAATTCAATTCAAGATTCTATTAGCAGTTTAAAAACATTAAAGATTTATACGTACAATTTTTAGATTCCAAGCAAAGCAATAAATGTATTGATTTAACAATTATTTTTTTTTTTTTTGTGTCGGTCATCACAGTTTGGGACAGTAAAAATTCTTTTCTTCAACAGCAACTTTTCTGGGAGGAGAGTGAATCTAGTTGGTGCATTCGAAAGGTAAAAATTTTAAACACCTATAGTTTTCACGTAAAACCTGTTTTCCAAAAAATCGATTTTACTTTTAAGTGCAACTCTTAGAAAATATGACATTAATAAGAAAATATTTTGGGAAATTCTTTCTAGAATTTTTTTAATGAATGTTTGTGTTAGCATTTTCTATGCACCATACAATTTTCAAAATATTTTGGCTCGTTTTGAACTATTTATAGACATACACAATTTTTGATTATTATTTGTCTTTTTTAAACTAATGTCAATAAAAACTTCTTCACTGTCAAAAATATTGTAAATGTAATACATGGTTAATTGTAAGTTGTTAGTAGAAATTAAAAAGAAAGTTGGGCATAAATCCACAATATTTTTTTATGAGCGTTTGAATTTAGAATGTTGACAAAATACGTAAAAATCATAAAAACTAGCAAATTATTTTGATTAAAGAATTCATAAAAAAAAATTTTTTATATCTAAAATTTAAAAAATTAATACAATATTCCTTATAAGTTTATCTACCTTAATCGAAAAAAAAATTTCTACCGGAAAGTCGAATTAAATTTTTATGAGCGTTTGAAGTTGAAATTTCTACAACATTGGATATTCACTCGATTTATCTTGTAGTGATTTTCTTATTTTGTTATAATTCAAAAATGAATTTCTGTAGATACTTAAAATTTACACTATATTTTTATTTCATCAATTCGTATACATGATAAAATGTTTAAATTATTTTTACTAGTTTTAAGCTGTTGGTGGACATTTTCAATTTTCAATTTTTTTCCTATAAGCGTCAATAAAATTTTAATGGTTGGGTCAAAAAGGTACAGCGACCTTCTGGACACTTGATGTACAGCAAAGGGACATCCACTTACCCACTTATAACGTTCAAATGTTGACAAAATTCATCAGAATCACAAAAATTTACAAAATTATTTTATAATTAAAAAATTATAAAATGTTCAAATTGTATAGGTGAAGATATAAAATTCAAAGCAAGGTTTCTAAGTAGTTCACACTGTAACTGAAAAATAAAGAAATAGTGTTTTTTTTATATAACGATTAAGTTAAAATTAATAACTATAAATAATAATCTACTATACTTTCTGTAATAGTTTGCTGTAACACTACAACAACACAAAACAACTAATTTGTTGTTACAATATATAATATTATTGATTTAAAACTATACACTGGGAAATAATAATTTTTTACTTTTGAAAAACCTGAAATAAAAAAATTATATGTTATGGGGTACTAATATATTATATTACAAGTGCTTAAACGCCACAGTATCATAATAGTCTATGCCCATGAATTTTATTTAATAAATGCCAATTAAGTAGATAGGTAGTATTAGAGTAGTATTACAATAATGTTTTGTTAATAATCATTTTACAAATACTTCATCATTGGTAATCTAGGCCTAGAACCGTAATAGGTGTTACAATTTCAATTATATTATTGTTTCAATAAGCATGTATTGTCTGCCTTTGACTTAAGCAAACCATGGGCTATATACGATCAATAATATTGATAGTGCATGGACCACTTTACAAACATATAATATGGATTCACAATTTAACATTTAGGATAATCTTTTTTTTTGCATTTTCAAATTGAATTGTTACCAACTGTACGTAGAACAGCACTACTAGCTATCATGGTACTATTTGTACTAACCACTCAGGCCTCCCTAATACATTAAATTGTGTTTCCCCAATGAATTGCATTATTAATATTTGGCTATTCCAGGTATGACTGTATAATGTATAAATATTAAATGAGCATGCCCATACTTCAGAGTCAGCATTTGCCACTGATATTATGTTTTATTATTTTATTGATCTCCAACCTCTAAAAATGTAATAATTTTTTTATACAACTTCTATTGGAATGATAAAACATAATTTATTGAATTTTTTTTTATTAAATGTAAATATATAATTTCATAGCAAATAAAATGTATTAGACCAAATTAACTTTTAATTACAATTGATTTTAATGTAAGACTGTAAGAGAAAAAAATACATTTTTAATAGCAACAAATTAATATTACTCAATGAGTTTCTTAGCTTTAAAATATCTCCTTAAGTACAAGATCTGCCATACACTCAATCCGAATAAGCAAATAATACTAAACATACTAAACCAATGAACTCTTCTGCTGGTTGATTCATTTGTATTACGCATTTCTTCGGCACGATGCTTCATATCAGAAAAATCTTGAACAATAGATGATGATAAATCTTCCAACATTTTCAGATCCAATTCCAAAGGTTTCAATTTAGCCACCTCTCCAATTCCTTCATATGTTTTTGCCTCGACACCAGTTTTAATGTTTAATGCAACCTCCTGCAAAGTTCCTCGTTGATACCCAGGTACACGAGAGGTAAAGCAAATTTCAAACATATCATAATTTTCAGTACTAAACGTAAACTTTCCTTTAGTAATGTCTTGTTTATTAGCTAAGATGTGTCCTTTAGAATCCCTCACAATATAATCCATAAATTGACCATCAATTGGTGCAATTTCATAATCACCCTTTACTAATACATTTTGTCTGAGTTCTTCACGTAAACATTTTTGAGTGTTCGGATGCATAAGCCAACGTATTGGTGTTACAAATGGCAATGATAACATAAGGATTAAACTCAATTTAACATCCATATTTCTTGATGAATAGCACCTTTTGATTATCTAATTGAACTCTGTAATAACCAAAACAATAAATTATAAACTTAATAGTTAAGCTTACAAGGCGAGTTGATAATATACTTGAACAGATTCATAACAGATATAAATATATAACCTATATGGCTATGTATAAACTATAAATCTGAACTGCATTTGGTATATATGCAGTCAGTGGCTAGGCCAGGATTCTGGGTTTGTGATGGGGAATTTATTTTCACAACCAAAATCCTTGTGACACAAGGATCTTCATAAGTTCATACAATATTCAATTTGAAATTATTTGGAATACGTGAGCACAATTCTTTTTTTTTTTTGAGTGTATACCTTAAATCTTAAACCTAATAAACATGGGTCAATTGTGGGGAAAATATGATGCAACATTTGTATTCAGTTTAAATAAAAATATTATATTTGATTTTTAAAGCCAAAACAAGAAAATAACAAAATAATAGTTAAAATCTAACCTATATAATATTATAGGTGAGTATACTGAATTAAATTAACATACATAGGTACAATTTGTATTAAAATATTAAAACGAAAGTTTTAATAAACTTTATTTACACAGATATTAGGGATAACAGGCCACAGGCATATTTAAGGAGATGAACTGTAAATAATGATTAAAAATGCATGATGCTTTAAAACATAAAGGGTGTCAAGTGTCAAAGGATGGTCGAACCAAGTCATAAGTTCTTGAACAGTTGAATGATGTATAACGTATAACATAATTCAAAATAAATTTTACCTTTAAATTCGTTATCTGTTAAAAATGATTTGTTCTTCGATTGTATTTGTTGTGCTCGGCTATTGTATTTTCGTGTGGATGGTGGTGATCATTTTTTCGTGTATTTAAAATAAGACTTTCATTTCAGACGTAACGTGAAATCAACAACTACATTAAATTTGGTTAACTGATATACCTATTATTTTAATTCATATTTTAAAAAGAATTCATGTCATTTGCGAGTCGTATAAAAATGTGTAGCCAGCAGCTATGTAGGTATAACTTAAATCATGGTCGTGAATCGTACACAATTATATTAGGTTACACCTTACGGGCTACGGCTTACACATAGGTAGTAGTTACACATAAGCAATGAGCATAATATTACAGTGTTATCACAAAAATGTTTTGATGATGTTTACAGTTTCATATAAACGCGTAACAGTATTGTAGACCTGATAATATCCATCGATTTCGATTCTGTGGTTGTATCAAAGATAACAGCGATTAGTGATTAGCACGGACTATATCTTAGTCCATGGTGATTAGTGATTATATTGTAAAAGTTATTGTATTTNTTTTTTTTTCTGTTTGGCGATTTAATTGTTTCAATAACATTTCTCTTTGAGCGGTGGGAAGACTCTCCTAAAAGTGTAATAATATTTAACATACAAGAAGATATCTCATCTTTTCTGTAAGGCAATAAATAATAAATAAAAACACTTGGATTGTTTGTTAATTTTTCTTTATTGTATTTTAATTATGCACATTTATATATTTATACATTAATTATATTTTACGTTATTCAAAAACATTTGTACATGGTTTCCAGTCGTAATACAATGAATAATATAATATAGTACAAATATGAAACGTGTCAAAAATCTTTAATTTCTTAATACAATATCAATAAAAAATATCCACTATGTTTCTACTTTTTAAAAAAAGTAAGGGGGGTAATCAGTGGCGTAGCATGAAACTTTGTGGTCCTGGGGCCAATAAAAGTTGGAGGCCCTCTTTAATGTAAAAATTAAACAGTGATTCTATTAGGTGAGTCCTGTGGCCCCCCAACTTAGACTTAACTTTGGGGCCCCGACCTTAATACGCCACTGGGGGTAATTATATACAGGGTTATTTTTAAAAAATAAATAAATAAAAAGAGTTGATATTTTTAAGTTAATGTAGTGGCGTGATTGAATGAGTTAGTTCAAAGTTAAGATAATTAAAACAGCAAACTAGTAAGTTAAATTAACTTAAATTTTAACTTATTAACTTGTTAATGCTCAGTCTTGTAAATATATACAATATAAGATATAGTTTATATTTTTGTAAAACCATTTTTAAGGATTATTAATCTGAATTTGAATTTAACCCTGTATATTTATATGGTTTCTGATTTATTCTTTTGGTACAAACCTTAAGATGAGAAAAACAGTTTTCTGAAATTTTGTTCTCTTCTTTGAGATGATCGATCAATTGACATAAATTTTTCACTTTCTTGGTCAACCACGTATTCTTATTTTGCAACAATTTTGTTTTAGATTTGTATTTGGATACATTTTGTTGTGATATATCCCAATATCGTTTGCGTTTTCTCGGAGTATTCAAGTCATCAGCTTTAAAATCACCAAATACCCATTTTCTTTCCCTGTAGACACATTATTAATAGTATTAATTTAAATAATAACAATAACTAAACTAATAAAAAGTGCTATAACTAAATAAATAATAATTTAATTACATAGGCTTATTGGAGGTATTCCTCATTCTTTTTGGAGTTACTGGTACTTGAATATCCAATATGGAAGTTTCCATGACATCAGCTTTGGATGGTTCAGATATATTGGAATTATTACTCATCTTTATTGGTGTAGTTACACCTATGGAAGTTTCCATAACATCAACAATAGATGGGCTAGTAATATCTGAATCACCATCAAGCAACGGGGATACTGCATCTTTACAAAATGAATATGTTGGTGTAACTTCAACAATATCAAAACTATCATTCATCTTTGATGGTGTTACTTCCATACCATCAACAGTAATAGGTGTAGTTACACCTATGGAAGTTTCCATAACATCAACAATAGATGGGCTAGTAATATCCGAATCACCATCAAGTTCACCTAAGATAATTATATAAAGTAAAAAGATTTAATAATATAATACATTCATAAGTATATAGCTAACATAATAGAATATTAACCCCTACGTTTTGTATTGTAATTTATTTACTTATGTACAATGTACTATTGTCATAATTTCTAAAATATAATAAAATAATAACTTACCATCATTGAAAACATATACACATTCATCAACGTCGAATAATGAGGGCACTGCATCTTTACGCAGTGAAAAGGATGTAGATCTAGTGGTTTTAAAAAAATCAATTTCAGTAAAATGTTTACTACACACTAAACTGAATTTGCTAATTTTAAAATTAGGATAATATGCCTTAATACGGTCTATCCATAAATGCCGAAGTTCTTCTGATGCTGGAAACCTATAATTAATAGCAAAATCATTATTAAAAATACTACATATGTAATATATTGTATATTGTATATTTACTTGTGTAGTTTAACATTGTGTTGTTTTGATGCAACACTTTTACATAGTGGAATTGAGCACATCAAAACCATTTTGATGAAGTATGTATAACAACAAAAAACGTTCAAAAATGGCAATAACAATAAAACAACACGGTTCTAGTTAGAATTCAAAATGTAGTTTATTTTACTCTTAAAAAACACGTGAGCAGTAGGCGCTTGACAAAGTAAACAAACAATTTTTTTAATCTTTTTAACTTTTTTATCATTCACTTTTTTACTTATCAGTTAATAGGTCTATGATAATACTTATCAATATTATAAAAAGTCTTGGAATAATCAAATAAATATTAATTTTTTCTTCCGAGATACTGGTTTTTGCTTATCAGATGTTGTCTGATTTTTTTGAGCTCAAGGCGCAGTCCATTTAGTTAATAGGTCTATGGTTGTATCAAAGATAACAGCGATTAGTGATTAGCACGGACTATATCTTAGTCCATGGTGATTAGTGATTATATTGTAAAAGTTATTGTATTTTATATATTGTACCATAGACATAATTTAGATCTATATTATGTCTGTTCATTGTACCTATTATATTTTAATTCTTTTATAATTTATAATATTTTATATTATAGATACTTTATAGGAATTTTATCACATTCACAAATCAGGATTCATGTAGTAATTAGTAGTATACAATATCACGATCACAATCACCAAACGACAAGTAAAGTGGGTTTTGGTTTTTGAGCATTATTTATTGGGTGTATACCCGCAACTTGCGCCCCCTATGATGCTCAACCTATTACCTAGACGGCTAGGCAAATGTTTCAAGCAGCTAGATGCGTTGATTCTGCCAAATCTAAAGAACCATGATTATTTGTGAAGATCATTTCAGTTTAATTTCTGTGGATCATGGTACCTATAAATAAGAATAACATTTTGCTTGTGCTCTTGTATTGTAGTATGTACATAAAATTTATTATTTTAGTTGGAATTAGATTTACAAAACCATACAACTTTTAAGTTTGTGGGAGCACCATCATTAATGAACAATGTCATGCCATACATTTTTCATTGTCCAGTAGACCTTATGCAAGTATCTACATCAAAGTGTTGACTATTAGACAAAAAAAGTATTTTATTGCAGTTCAAAACCATTTTTTATCAAAAAAGGTAAAATTTTTTAAAAAATAATCATTTTTATTACATTATTTGTTTAATTTTTTTTCATATTCTTAACCTAACTGATATTTAGTCATAAGAATATAAATCTGCATGATTACAATAACATAAATAAAAAGTTCTTAACAACAAAGTAACAAAAATAAAAAAATATTAAATAAATATTTTTATGTAATTTTAAAAAATCTACTAAACCTACCTTCCTACCTTTTAGTTTTAGTAAAATAAATCATGAGATTATTTTGATATTTTGAATTTTCCTATATTACTTTATTTTTTTATAGACATTGTGAGGAGCATTTAAACTGTTGCTCTAATCGATAAAAACATCTGTGAATTATATTGGTGTAATAAAAAATGTGCTGAAAAAGCATCCCCTAGTCTAATAGGTGTAAGAAAATACCATATTAAATGATAGGACTAGTAACTATAATTTGAACTAAAATGTATAAATGAAGAAAATTTAATGAATAATAATACTAACTTTCTTAGTATGCAATCAAACTTGTAGTTTAAACTGTTTAAAGTCTTAAGAATTATTTAGATAGAAAATTAGAATGAATTTAAAACATTCTTTTTTTTTGTAGTTAAAGTATGCAATAATGAGTTAGAAAAATCTTATAATAAACGTATATATTGTATTATTTTTGCCTAAAACGGTTACAGTTATAGCTGTTCCTCGTAATAACTGACATTGTCATGTTTATAACATTTATCATTGCCTAATCAATGCCATATCCACACTCTCTATATAAATAGATGTAAAGTTAACTTGAATATTATTATGTATAAATTAAATAGATTCTCAAAGCTTGGATTGATGTTTATTAATGTGGTCTTTCAAGATGACTTTGTTACTTGCATTTAACTTCATCTATGTGTACAATATGAATTACCTACCTATATGCAACATTAAAGATAAGTTATTACAATAGTTTTAAATCTAAATTGATATAATGAATATTTTTACATTCATCCATTTTAAATATAAGCATTGATGCTCTCTATAAAGAAAATGAGAAAAAACATACTTAAAAAATAAAAAAATTGTAAAATTACTCAATAGCTCCAAATCAAAATCTAATAATGTTATATGGTTCAACCGATTAGGAAAAATGAATAGTGAAAATATAAGTTACAAGGTCAATTGAATATATTTAACCAACCCTACTTACATTAATTTGACGATGATGTATGTTTTTGTTTTTATTTTTTGTTTCAATCTTCAACTTCAAGTGTGGTTTCTATTAGCAACTTGTATCTAGTTAGAACAATGGGTTATATTTAATGTAAAAATTGCTCAATACTTTTCAAAATAACTTACATCACAATAAATAATAAAATATACTTTTCAAAAATTAAAAATGTCTTTTATTGTAATTCAAAACTGAAGAACTGTCAAAACTTTTAATTTTCACCAAATATTTTTATTTGCATTCGAAAAGCAGGGTATAATTTTTAAAATATTTATAATAATATTTGACAGTTATTTGGGTTGATTTGATCAAACATAAAATTCAGGTAAATATTTACCAGTTAATAAAATGCCTGTGAAAACCGTATCAAAATCAGTGCACCCGTGTTTGAAGCCTTTCCCAGACAAACAGACCGATAGCAAAATGTATATGTGTGTATTTCATGTGATAGGTATTACATTTAATCGTGTTAGTTTAATAATCACAGCGTATATTATGCATTATATATTTTAATCGATGATATACAAGATAAATAAATGGAAAAACAATAAAAAAATAAGATTGGTTTTGAATTGCAAAAGTGTCAGTTATAGAATAATAGAAAATAGAAAATCAAAAAAAAAGTTAGAAAATCAAGGTTTTTCCAAATATAATCCAGCCTACTTTACGAGTCAAGTTTCCATGACAGAAAATATAATACTATAATAGAACAACCCAATATTGAAAATTATAACCAATCTAATAACCTTTTTTTTCTGTATCACGAATGGACACCATATTCTCTTTATGTATATAAAAAATTTTAAATTTTTGCTGCATATTAAATTTAATTACGAATTTCTTAAAATCAATTCTTCATGCACATCTAGAGAATGCTTCGAAATGCTGAAACCATTATTCAAAATTTCAAGCTTATACGTTTTGTCTTTTGAGAAGCAATGATTAGCTTTTATTTACTTACGATTTACATAGAATCATTTTTGTCGGTAAATTAAAATGTATAACAAGATTCCTCATAATTCTATCAACCATGGAAATTTAAAAATATCGAAAATACTTGGGCATAGTTATTGTGTCTGAAGTTCAAATTTTTACAATATTTGCTAAACATGAAAATTTCCTAATTATTTTGTAGTAAATAATTTATAACATTTTTAGTTTGAATAGAAAAGCTTTAAAATTAAATACAAGGTATTCAAAAGTTTTTCTTACAATAATTTTAACATCTCAAAAATATACAGGTACCAATGCACAATTTTTTCATACACATTTCTAGTAATAATTTTGACAAAATTGAATATTAAAATGAAAAATAATACTTAGAAGCTCTATTAAAAAATAAATATTAAAAAAAAGGGTTTCGTTATTGTCTTGTAATTCAAAAGTTGTATTCGTTAGGATTTGAAACTTTTCGCCATTATGTATTTTAGTATATTATTATTGACTATTCAATTTTCAAAATATTTGGAATAATTTGAAGCTATTTATACCATAATTCTAGCAATATAAAATATGTAGTAAAATATCCTTAAAAATATAGTCCGCCAGATCGTCTCCGCTCTGCGCTTAGCTTTGTTTTTCATATACTTTATCATTGAATTAAAATGTGATATGTCCATAACCCTAACCTTACCCGTTTTGTAAATTCTTAAAAGAATATAAAATTATTTTTATAGAATTCTTATTTCTTAAATAATTCAATAGTTTTTAGGGTGACTATGACGATTTTTGGGGGATAACTCTCCTCCTTCTATCCGATTACCACCAATGGTTCAGTATTCCTACTATTTTAATTAGGTATTAAATAATAACTAAAAAAGTAAACTGTTACTAATATATTGTAGGTACATTAGATTAGTGTTCAGTTTACATACACATATATTATATATAATACATATAGCAGGAAGAAAAATTAAATAAAAATTAACTTTTAAATCAAAAATTTCCCAAAATTTTACAAACACTTGAAGAAGTATGTATTTATTAAGTAACACTTAAAAAAAAAATTGAAAAATGGGTCGTCTCGTTAAGTAGTTTTACATCACAAATTAATGTGGATTTACTCTCAACTTTTTTTTCAAATTTCCACTTGCAACAATCTGTGAGGAACTTTCTATTCAATGTTCAAGCTTTTCGACCGAATGAAAATTGTTTTTGTTAATTAAAAAAAAGTGGTTAAGGGGGTACCGTTTTGCTATAAAATATGGTTAGTTTATGTATGTGTCATATTTGTCTAGATGTCATTGTAATGGATGTGTTATATTGAATTCAGTGACAAATCATTGCATTCGAAAAATAATTCTGAGATTTCTGACGTTATGTCATCCTAGCTAGCATACGTGTATAAATAATCAAATTTAATAGTTAAAAAAAAATTATAAATATCATAAATATCTCATTGATAGCTAAATAACTGGTGGATGGTGAACTTTTTTTTGATAGAGGTAGGAAAACTTTTTGAGAATCATTAAATAATAATAATACAAATAAATTAGAATTAAAATGTCTAATGTTAGGTATGAAAAGAAAAACTTTTATCAATTTCCAACCGAAAAATAATTTACAAATATTTGAAAACTTTCTCTTGGCTACAAATAAATCATAATCATTTACCGATGAAAATCCAATATTGTACAATTTTCAACCTGTTATAAAAAATTACTTTCTGGTAAACTTTTTTTTTATTGTCAAACATAGAAATGTTTGTAGAAATCTTGGAATACAATTTTTTATGTTAGCCATGGAAAGAAAAATTTGCTCGAATTTATAACTGAAAATTAATCTGGAAATTGTTGAGATTTTGATGAATTTTGTCAAAATTGAACTTTACATGATAGAAAAATAATCTTGCTTGTATATTCTTTATATTTTTGAACTTCCACTTAAAAAACTTATGGGGAACTTTGCAATAAATTGTCAAGCTTTTTTACTTAGTGAAAAGTTTTTAATAATAAGAAAATTTTTATAAATTCGAAAAACTTCTCAAAGCCATAAATAGCTCAAAAATATTTCGAAAATATTAGCATATATGGAAAACTTATATATATATAAATATTAAGTAAAAATTTCGTGCAAAGTTATTAGTTTAAGGCCTTAATGGTTACACGAAACAAATATAAAATCGATTTAGTCAAAACCTGGTTTTAAATTAAATTCACTTTTTTCTTAATTTTTACTTCGTTTTTCCCGACGCTTTCTAGAACTTCTAGGAATTTTCCATTTTGACCTCTCAAAAGAACAAACTACTTTTCTATTAGAAAAGTGTCTGATTTTGAGAATTATTGGAGCATTTTTACTATCCCAAGGCCCAAATGTTGATGACCGATAGAGAAAAAAAAATTTATTGTAATTCTAATACATTTATTCGCGTCGCTCAGAATCTAAAAGTATAGAGGTTTTATTATATACATTACATATTATAGTATAGTATAGGTATTTATTACTTTTTAAATGTTAGGTATGTAAAGATAATTAGCTATCAAATTTCAAAATGTTTCTTAATAAATAATAATCGATGTACATTTTAGATTAGCATGACTCTTGTTTGAGTACTATTATTACATACTTTTAGACTATAGTCTTTAGTGTATCACATATTTCGTTAGTTTCCTTTCCCATTAAAATATTCAATCTCTATAAATAAAAAAAAGCATAAATTATTCAAAATTTGATATACCATATGCATTAGAAAAGTATTCTGCATAGAAATCTAAAATTAAAATTCAAAGTGTTCATCAAAAATCTTGAAAATCACCATTTTAACAATTTATTTTAAAACATCAATTTTTTTAAAAAGATTTCGTCATAAAATTAAATAATTTATAACTATTTAAAAATGTAATCTATATAAAAACAACATTCATTTGACCAACATATACCTCCAAAATAATAAGTGATTTACTGATTTATTACGTTAAAAAAAATCAAACGTATATATTTATTACTTATTGGGTATTAATGTATGAATGAATCACAATTCGTTAATCAATAGATGATGTTTCATACAAATATATACGATATCGGATATGTGCTGATATGCCATTGCGATATAGGTACTTTTAGTATATTATGTATTTTAATATTTATATTCATATATGTTTTTATCCATACATACATAACTAATGTACGAAAATGCTTAAAGTTGACAATTTATCAAACAGTCTCTGGTGCATGTGCATAATGTGTATCTCATCATAACAATTTATGTGGTGGGTAGGTCTTAAGAACGACCAGCAAACAATTTCCTGGGCGCCACACAGACTGGTATCGACCTCCTCTTTAATATGATTGCCTACCCGACTGTATTTTTACAACCTCTGTCCTTGATATTTAGCTAAAAAGTTTTATGAAATAAATATTCTCCAATACCTAACGCTATCGAAACTAAAATAATTTGTGTATCAAAATTACTTTTTATTGCTCTTATAATACGCAAAATGTTTTAATATATATTTTAACGTCTCTGTTTTGTATAGAGTTTCGACATTAATCCATTGCCCTAGTCCTGCAGCTACATACTGAGTGGGCGGAAGCCTAGAAATGACGTCACCCTTCAACCCCCGCCCGACATCTCTGTTATTGATTTTCACCCTTGCTTTCTTTGGCCATGCACAGGCGCAACTTAAGGGGTATACACAAGTAGTCTACTGGTGGAGGCTGATGAGTTCGTGTCTGTAGGTCGAACATTTTCACCACTGATGTTGTGATATTTAAATTACAGGTAATTTATTATTCATGTACTCATACTTGTTTTAATTAAAATAGAAACCTTTTTATATTTTATATTTAATGTGTATCTATGTATTTTATAGTCTTATAGGGTAGGAGAAAAATCATTTAAATAACGTCACATCATAGGTACGATCATATAAGGCGTCAATCATGTCTTCTGTGAAAGTAGCCGTTCGAGTACGGCCTTATAACAATCGAGAAATATCTAGAGATTGTAAATGCATCATAGAAATGGCTGGTTACACTACATGTAAGTTTTGTTCTACAAAACATTCAAAATGTAAACATATAAAAAAAATTGGCCCCTCCCCATAAATATCTTGCAATAATTTCTATCATAGAAACGATTTGTTTTTATGTATTTATATATATAATTAAAAAATGTATATTACATTTCGATCATAAATTAAATTATTATCATTCTAACAATTAAAAAAATAAAACTAAATGAACTTTTTATTTAAACATTTATTACGCTTTTACAGTTAAAAGTTTTAATGTATTATTAAAAATATTTTCGTAAAATATTTCGTGGAGGGGGAGGCAGCAAACATTGCTTTGTTTAAATGTGCCTATTTATAAATAGATATCTACTGAGATTAATAATATAATAGTAGACTATTAATTTTAAATTTACCTCGTAAATTGTGGTATAGGACCTATACTATAGGTAGTATTTTTGTTGGCTATAAAATAACATAAAAAGTTGATTTTGTTCAAAATGAACTACATTAAAAAAAAAAATTTATTCGTATGTAATTGTCTATTTGTGTGTGCTTTAAAATGCAGTATGCACATTTATTTTTATGAGCTTAAGGTGTCCATTAATTTCAGACATAATTTTGGAAAAAAAGTTTCTATTTAGTACTAATTAATAAAGTATTTAAAACAAAACACCTAGACCATTCTTAGACCATTACATTTAGAATTTGTGTCCTCAAAAAGAATCTAAATAGTACAGCCATTGTGAATGTTGCAATGATGCAATTAATGTTTTTTGTACATTTTTAATTTTGCAGCTATAACGAATCCAAAACTTCCCCCTAATGTTAAGGATGCAACAAAAAGCTTTAATTTTGACTATTCTTACTGGTCTCAAAACGTAAGTAATAAACTTCATTTTTGTTGTTTACTTAATAAAATGCCATGTTTCTTTATTTTAGCCTTCAGATCCAAATTTTGCATCCCAGACTATGGTGTATAGAGATATTGGTGAAGAAATGTTGCAGCATGCTTTTGAAGGTATATTCATTACCATTTTACTTTTTAACCCTAACGTTTCTAATATTATTTCTTTTACTCACACATCGTTGTTTGTAATATTGTAGGTTACAATGTATGCATATTTGCATATGGTCAAACAGGAGCTGGAAAATCATACACTATGATGGGGCGGCAAGAAGAAGAAGGCCAAGAAGGCATAATACCATTGATTTGCAAAGATTTATTTCACAGGATTAGATCAACTACCAGTGATGAATTACAATATTCTGTTGAGGTTAAAAATACTTAATTAAAAAATTATTTATTTTATAATTATGTATCTAATATTTAACTGCAGGTTAGTTATATGGAAATATACTGTGAACGTGTCCGCGATCTATTAAATCCTAAAAATAAAGGTAATCTTCGAGTTCGTGAACATCCTTTATTAGGACCTTATGTAGAAGATTTATCAAAACTTGCTGTTACTACTTACCAAAATATCCATGATCTCATTGACGAAGGCAACAAAGCCAGGTAAACATTTTGATATGTTTAAAATCTTTAAAAGGTATACATTTATTTTTTCAAAGTACTAATTAATTTTAGTTTTGTCAACTATTTTTTTCATAAGTTTTTAAAAATAATTGTTTATGTTTTTTTTTTTTTTTATATCAGAACAGTTGCAGCAACAAATATGAATGAAACATCTAGTCGTTCTCATGCAGTTTTTACTATATTCTTTACTCAAAAACGGCTAGATGAAATGACTCAGCTAACTACTGAAAAAGTTAGTAAAATATCTTTAGTCGATTTAGCTGGTTCAGAAAGAGCAGATTCAACTGGTGCAAAAGGAACAAGACTTAAAGAAGGTGCAAATATTAACAAAAGTTTGACTACTCTAGGAAAAGTTATATCTGGATTAGCTGAAATGGTATGAATTCCAATTATGTGTATAATGAAATATCTTTTAGTGAATGTACAATAGTATAAATATAATAGTACAATAGTATAATCCTAATTATTTGTATTTTACAATAATTCTAGCAATTAAGGGAGTAGTTTATTTAAAAAAAAAATATCAACATGTAGTACCTACACAATAATTGAAATACAGTAGAACCTCATTAATCCGGAATAATTGGGGTTCTAGGTTGGCCGAATTATTGAAAGTCCGGATTAAACAAAATAACCAAGAATCGTAAATTATAAATTTAGAAAAATTGTATTGGATATTTTACCATACTTACAATACTTAAGTTTATCTAATACATATATCTAACAATATTAAACCTAGAAAATAGTACATCGTTGTATAATTGAACTCGTTTTCATGTTTATCTGAATCTACATCATGAACTAGCGTGATAAACGGCTGCCCAGATTAAGCAAAGTCTGGACTAATGAGGTTTTACTGTACATTTAAAAATATTGGGATTGTATTTTTTTTAATTTTCCAAAAATGATGTAAAAAATATTTCAAAGTACTTTTGGTATACTTTATTTTGAATATAACTAAAATAATGAATGTTATAATATATTATTATATTTTGTTTTTCATGCTTTTCATTTTTCAAACGGTTTATAGTCAGTAAGTATTTTTGTCGATGTTTATTTGACATTTATTATAATTTTCTATTTCATTAAATTAGGCTTCTAAAAAAAAGAAAAAAGGAGATTTTATTCCTTACCGTGATTCCGTTTTAACTTGGCTTTTGAGAGAGAATCTTGGGGGAAATTCTAAGACAGCAATGATTGCTGCTATTAGTCCTGCAGATATTAATTATGATGAAACATTATCTACTTTAAGGCAAGTTATGAATAATATTAACTTGTGATAATTATTATTGCTCTATGTTATTGTATTTTATTACAGGTATGCTGATCGTGCAAAACAAATAGTATGCAAAGCTATTGTTAATGAAGATGCTAATGCTAAACTTATCCGAGAACTCAAAGAAGAAATACAAAGACTTCGAGACTTATTAAAAGCTGAAGGAATCGTAGTACAAGAAGGTATATTATTTATAGTTGAAAAGTACCTATACAATTAAGTATTTATCTCAATTAGTTTGGTGACAGTGGTTTTTATTTTTATGAACATCAGGTGGTAAAATGGTTTATGGGAAACTAAAAGAAAACCGTAAGTAGGGGTCTCCTCTCATGCTTTCAGTGTCCTGTTTCTATAAAGCTAGCTTGGCTTTGACATATACTATAATACATAATTATAATTATACTTAAATTCTCTATAAACAACTAAAATAATAATTAATGCGCTTAGCTACCATTATCTGCATCATTCAAAATATATATTCAATTTTACATTTATAATAATTTTCAATTTATTTTTAGGAGATGACGGAGTAAAAATGCTTAAGGATGGTGATGAAAAACCTAATATTCCTTCATCTATGATTGCTGAAGAGGCTGTTGATCAACTTCAAGCGAGTGAAAAATTGATTGCTGGTATAAAAATATGTCTATTGCTCAATAATGTATTTAATTTAACTGTTATAATTAATTTGGTTTAAAAGAACTGAATGAAACATGGGAAGAAAAATTAAAACGTACAGAAGAAATAAGAATTCAAAGGGAAGCTGTATTTGCTGAAATGGGAGTAGCGGTTAAGGAAGATGGTGATACAGTTGGAGTTTTTTCTCCACAAAAGGTAAATATTTCAACGTTTGTGGTTGGCAGCCAATTAATATTGTTTGTCATTTGTTAAGACTCCACATTTAGTCAATCTAAATGAAGATCCATTTATGTCTGAATGCCTTATATACTACATCAAAGAGGGTGTAACACGTGTTGGATCTGCTGAATCTAAAATCACTCAAGATATTCGACTGTGTGGCTCATATATACAGCGTGAACATTGTCGGTTTGAGAATTCTAATGGTGTTGTTACTTTGATACCGATAAAAGGTGCCTTATGTTATGTAAATGGACGAGAGCTTACAGAACCTATTGTCTTGAAAACAGGTTCAAGGGTGATTCTTGGAAAAAATCATGTTTTCCGATTTAATCATCCAGAACAAGGTAAACTGATAATTATATCATTAATATGATAAAATAATTTGAATTAATTATGTTTAGTGAGAGAGCGCAGAGAAAATAAAAACAAGACAGAAGCAACGGCAGAAAATATTAAAGAAAGTAATAGAAATATTAATTTATAATTTAAAATTGTTGTTAATATTGAATACAACTATGTTTTAGTCACATCTAAACCAGAAAAGAGTTCTCCTGCTGAAACCCCAATAAGTAATGAGTATGTTGATTGGAACTTTGCACAAATTGAATTATTAGAAAAACAAGGAATAGACCTGAAACAAGATATGAAACTAAAGCTAAATGCTCTTGAGGAACAATTCAAAAAAGATAAAGAAACGGCAGATCAAATATTTGAAGAACAACGCAAAGTGAAAAAAAAAAATGTTTAAATAGTTAATAAATATTCTAATATTTTCATTCTTACTTGCAGAATTATGAGGCTAGAATAGATGCACTTCAGAAACAAGTTGAAGAACAAAGTATGACTATGTCAATGTACAGTTCTTATACTCCAGATGATTTTATTCAAGAAGAAGATATTTTTGGTATATAATATTGTTTATTGCTAATTTTCTAGCATTATAAATTGTTTTAAATTGGAATTTTAGTTAACCCATTGTTTGATGCTGAATGCAATTGGACTGACAAAGAATATCAGTTAGTTTTGACAACCTGTCGTAAATGGAAGTATCACCAATTTACATCCTTGCGAGATGATTTATGGGGAAATGCTGTCTTTTTAAAAGAAGCCAATGCTATATCAGTCGAATTAAAGAAAAAAGTATAACATTTTGACGAACATAATATATTTTAATTTATTTTAATTTATTTTATTAATTTAATTTTTCAGGTTCAATTTCAATTTACGTTGTTAACAGATACTTTGTATTCTCCATTACTTCTGGATTTCTTGTCCGATGATGATGATGTAGATAGACCATTCCCTCGTACATATGTTGCAATCGAAGTACTTGACACAAAAAATGGTGCTACCCATTATTGGACATTAGATAAATTAAAGTGAGTATTTGTGAGTTACTCACATTTATCAGGTTATCAGGTAGGGTGATTCTAACGCTTGTCTTTGTGTTAGAACGAGGTTGGATCTTATGCGCCAAATATATAATGGGGATATTGAAAGCCCCCAGAATTCACCTTGCGAGCTCAAGGATGATTTTTTCCAATGTCTGACTGCCTGCACCCCTAACAAGTCTTTCTCCTATTTGATACCCTCAAGGTTAGTGTTCCCTATATAAGTCCTATACATAATGTTTAAGTGGTTTGTCAGACATACTTATTTCGAGAATATTTTAGGCTAATTATCCCGTTATATTTTGTCAATTTTCCCATAAATATTTTAAGACATCAAAATTGTTGAGATATTGCTGCACTATTTACAATTTTTGTTTTTATTGATTTATATATCATTGTATTTTTTTTTAAATATATATTATGATATTTACAGACAAAGATTGGAGCTTATGAGAGAAATGTATCAAAATGAAGCTGAGATGTCGCCTACATCACCAGACTTTAATATAGAAGCAATTACAGGTGGAGATCCATTTTATGATAGATTTCCATGGTTTAGACTTATTGGCAGAGCGTTTATCTATTTAAGCAATCTTATGTATCCTGTACCCTTAATTCACAAAGTATCAATCGTTAATGAAAAAGGTGATGTCAAGGGTTACCTTCGTGTTGCTATACAAGCAGTTTCAGGTAGATTGATAACTGTATAATGATTCTTAATTACATTCAAATAATTATTTATGTATGTATTTATAGAAGACGAGACTTCTGATAATTCTTGTGGAGTAAGACAATTTGCAAAAATTTCTTTTAATGACAAAGATCTGTTAGGCCGGTTGTCTGGGAAAAAAAATACTGATATTATTGAAAGGATTGTCACAGGAAAAAGTAGCAACAAAGGAGATGGTACTAAATATAGTTTTTATATTGTCTGCTTGAAATTATAATTGTTAAGAAATAAATTTAGAAATTGAAGCGGATGGCGATAGTGGTCATGGAGATAGTTCTATGTCCTCTGATAACAAAGATGAAGAACTTCCAAGTCACCTGTTAATTAGTAAAGATTTTACATTTAGAGTTACCTTATTACAAGCTGTTGGTGTTCCCGACGAATATGCTGATATTTTTTGTCAATTCAAGTAATTTAATGTTTAAATATTTTATAAATGTTTTAATAATTGTCAAATATATGTTTTTATTTTTAGTTTCTTGCATAGACATGATGATGCATTTTCTACTGAACCTGTAAAAAATTGTGGTAAAGGCACACCTGTTGGATTTTATCATGTTCAAAATGTAAGTACACCTAGAAGTTATAAAATGTTCCATGAAATAAAATTTTATTTTTATCATAGATTACTGTTCCTGTTACAAAATCATTTATAGAATATATAAAGACACAGCCAATTGTATTTGAAGTATTTGGACATTATCAAAAACACCCACTTCACAATGATGCTAAACAAGATAGTACTTTGTATGATTTATTAAATATTTATATAAAATCAGAAATATTACTATAAAATAGAATATCTTATTGTTTTATCAATATTTTAGTGTTCGGCAGCCTCCAAGAAGAATGTTACCTCCATCAATACCCATTAGTTTACCAGTGCGTTCTCCAAAGTTTGGAGTATTGCCTTCATTGTGCACATCACATATACATGCCAAGTATGATTTACTGGTTTGGTTTGAAATATGTGAACTTGGTAAGCTACTTAATTAATTAATATATTGTTATAATAAAATATAATATATGTATTAGGTCCTGATGGGGATTATGTACCTTGTGTGGTTGATCATAGTGAAGAGCTACCATGTCGTGGACTGTTTATGCTACATCAAGGTTTACAGCGCCGTATACGTATTACAGTAGTACATGAAACTGCTCCAGAGTTACGTTGGAAAGAAATACGGGAACTTGTTGTGGGTCGTATTCGCAATATACCTCAATCAGAAGATGACGATACAGACAATTCAGTGCTCTCGCTTGGCCTATTTCCTGGAGAATACCTTGAAATACCTGGTGAAGATCGATGCATGTTTCGTTTTGAAGCAGCATGGGATAGTTCATTACATAATTCTGTACTTCTTAATAGAATATCAACTGGTGGAGAACACATCTTCATGACTATATCAGCTTATTTAGAGGCAATAATTGAAAAATTTAGTAAATTATGAAATTTTAAATAAATGTATCTAATAAATTACAGTTGGAAAACTGTGGATGTCCAGCAATAATTACCAAAGACTTAAGCATGGTTATCTATGGTAGAGATGCACGTACGGGACCTAGATCCTTGAAACATTTATTCAGTGGCAATTACAAAAACAGTGAAGCAAATCGGTTATCTGGCATTTACGAACTTGTGCTGAAAAGAGCTTCAGAAGCAGGTAGTCCAGGTAGTTTTCGTGACAAAAGAGAAATGCAGTAGAAACCACAAGAGTTGTTGGCTTGTAGATATTGTAGTTAAAGCTTATTCCATTTTAGAAATGTGTTATGGTAGATGTTGATTGTAATACTTTGTGCAGGTGTCCAAAGACGACAAAGACGTGTTTTGGATACAAGTTCGACATATGTCCGAGGTGAAGAAAATCTTGAAGGTTGGAAACCACGTGGTGACAGTTTAATATTTGACCATCAATGGGAACTGGAGAAACTTACCAGACTCGAAGAAGTAGGCCGTACAAGACACATGATTCTTCTTAGAGAACGCCTGGGTCTTGACAAAGTACCAATTACCAAATCTGAAAAGGTTTAAATCCATGCTTGTCCATGTTAGCTTATACTTAATATTCATTATAAATCATATGTATCATAGGAGGTATGTAACATAATAGCCAAAGCATCAAGTTCCACTAAAGATATAATGAGGCCGCCTAGTCCTGTGGCATTGCGCAATATTGACCCTAGTGTTTACGAACCTTGGCAGATGAATGAGAGAGAACGATTCTTGGCTACCAAATGTATCAAGCTTATTCAAGGAAGAATCCCATCCAAAGTATACTGACATATTATAATATTTTGAATTGATAAATAATATAAAGAAAATATAAATTAATTATTAATCTTATAAATTATCCTTCTTTAGGAAAATTTGTTACAATCTTACACCAATGTACTAACTCCTACTGAAGATAAAACAGATTCAAACATCAGTCATTCATCAAGTTGTGTTACCATTTCAAATCATGAGTATAATAACCAAATTATTATTATTAAATTAAAATGTATTTGTTATTACAAGCATTTTCTTAAAATTGTTAATTTTAGATTATTTTCTCCGGACCGTAGCCTTCAACGTGGTTCAAATATGAGTGACTCTATATACCTTAATCAAGATGTTATGATTTCTTCTCATTCATCAACATCTGAACCACAACTCGTGTTATATGTGCCAGAAGTTGAAGAGATAAGAATTAGTCCTGTAATTTCGAGAAAAGGTTATCTGAACATACTAGAACATAAAACTAATGGATGGAAGAAACGATGGGTGGTAAATCCTTTTTCTAATTATTGTTTACATTTGACCATAAAAGAACATATTTTAAAATTGAGAATTATTGATTAATGTTCACATTTTGTTATTAGATATTTTTCACGTGTATTAATTTTCAGACAGTTAGACGTCCATATGTGTTTATATTCAGAGATGAAAAAGATCCAGTAGAAAGGGCACTGATCAACTTAACTACAGCTCAAGTTGAATATTCTGAAGATCAATTAGCCATGGTCAAAGTACCAAATTCATTCAGGTAGCTATTTACATTCCAGTTCATTAAATATAAAATACTTTTATTTGAAAATACTGAAACTAAAAAAATATAGTATTAATTTAAAATGGGACCTAGGGTACAAACATTTACAAGTGCCAATTTATTAAGTTATTAACATCTAACATCTAGTAATAATAATATTACAATCATAAACTATTAGACAGAGTGTAGTGGTAGTTCCTACGGTGAACGTATAAGGTATGAGATTACTGTACAGAATATAAACCATGAACAGAAAAAAGAAATAAAAAAATTCTAATCTTTTCTAATGGTTATCAATTATACACCTACATGTATTATATTCTGGGCATTTCATTATTCAATTTTAATTTAAAAGACAAAAAAGGTACACATTGAAGTAGGTACATACATTGTATTTTTTTGTTTTAAAAAAAATGTTAACAAGAATATTTTATTTTACATTTAGTGTCGTTACCAAACATAGAGGCTATTTAATGCAAACATTATTAGACAAAGAAGTGTATGAATGGCTGTATGCCATAAACCCTCTTTTAGCCGGTCAAATTCGGTATGTTATTAGTAGGTATTGATAGTAGTTTTATACACAATATTATAATGTTGACTCAAATTTTTTTTAGGTCGAAAACATCGCGGCAAATAATGCCAAATGGACAAAATCAAAAGCCTGCATTTGTGTCCAACCCAATTGACACACATCAATAAATATCAAAAATTTATGCATACTTTTTTCTATACCTATGTGTATATTTGTTTGTGTATGTTCTAAAATGTTAAATTTAATCACATTTAAATATCAGCACTGTTGTTTTGCGATATACCATTTAGTAATGTGCCATTGAAATGTTGCGCTTTATTTTATTATGCTGCCAAAACACGTATGATTGCTTTAAAAAAGGTTTAATACATTTTAAATTTTAAAACAAAGGTTGTGAAATAGTCGATTCAATATTGTATAGTTATCGGTATTTCTTATCTCTTCTTTTGTATACCGATACAAACTATTACTTAAAAGTAAAAAGCATAAAAGATCAAATAATACTATTTTTATTATTTCTTCAATCATTATTGTGATATTTTGTTTTGTAATATTTGCTGTATACATAATGTTTTGTTTGTAATTAAATGCAAAATAAGTATATAAATTAATCCTTTGCTCTAGTCAAATATATATTATATTATTATTTATTATGTTCAAATGCATACAATTAAATTATTTATGAAATAAAGTTTGAAAAAATTACAAAGTTGTGTTGCTGAATCCTGTCTACAAGTATCTAAAATCTAAAGAACCTTAAATAATTCAACAGAAAATGTTTCTTTAGTTTACAGCAGGGGAAATAAAACCAACTATGCTTGTCTACTGTCTGGTATTCTGGTACCTATTTAATATTTAAAATACTAAAACGGAAATATTTGGCTCATCCCTAACTTAATATAATATAATGTAATAGTCAATTGTATAAAATCTCCTATAGTATAAATGTGGATTTAGAAAAAGTGGGTGATTTCAATTTAAATGTAAAAAGTTTTCCAGTTAAAATTCATAGAAATTTTTTAAAAAATGTATATTTTATAATTTCAATGACTGAAATGTATCAAGTTTTTTAATTTTCAATTTGCCAATTTGCTTGAATACCGGTAGAAGTTGTCACGTTTTACAATCATTCATATAATTTAGATTTTTAGATTTAATTAATTTTAAATTAAGTTTTTTTTTTAATTTGCAACAACTTTTTTTAAGTAGATGCCTACCTTATAAAATATATGAAATAGTTTATCTAATATTAATTCCACTAATTATATGATTCAATGTTGAAAAGTATCTATACAGAAATTAGAAACCTTCATGTCTTCTCCTTTTGACTAATAGTTATACCACTGTGTATTCGAACAGTCAATTTTAATGGACACTTCTTTTTTTCATTTGTGTACTTTCAATCTCATGATTTCGACACATTAAAAGGTTTTTTGATAAATATCTGTGAAAACGCAGTATTTCTCATATAAATAAGGAACTTTTTTAATGATTAAACGACTTCTACAGCTGTTAATAAATAATTAAGTCTGATGTCCAAAGAAAAGCACTTGTTTTTAATACTAAAGACGTGGTTGCAACTTGCAAATGTATGTATGTAATGTAAATATATAGACGTAACATTAAAATCAAATTTACATTTACGTACATGGTATACCAAAATAATATAAGAATAAAATATATAATTAAGGCATAATTCTATAGTTAAGCAACCTATCGATTTTTAAGGTTATTTTTTTCCAAAATATGTTTTTTACAAAAATGTAAAAAAAAGGTTAGACGGATTTCGTTTTATAAGTTATTGATGAAAAACTTAAGAAAAGACATTTTTTTCTCGTACTGCGCATTTAAAAAAAAAAAATACTTAGAATTGAATATTTTTTCAAATGTGTGGTTTTAACGACCAGTAGAAATTAAAAAATTGGTAAGTAGAAGATTAGGTACTCCGTAATTTAGTTTAAACAGTCCGAGCTAGCGTAGCAAATAGCATGACGTGAGTCATCTGGACGCGTATTACTTAATCTCATCATAGAGAATACCGCGTGCATTGTTAGCAATATTTTTGTTGTAAACATGATTACATTTTTGACATAACTACACCTTTAGGTACCCAGCATTTTTTGAATTATTTTTTTTTGAATCATACGTACTTCAACAGTTCAACGAGTTAAGAATGATGGTGCAAAAAAAAAAATTCCTACGAGTGGAGCCGGTAGGCGAAGCAGGAGCGACTCCAAAGACATGGTTGAGGGGGGGCTAAGTATAATTTTCAGAAAACTTTGAAAAATATTCAATTCTAAGTATTTTTTTTTTTAAATACATGTTACAAAAAACATTTACTTTTTGATGTTTTTCACCGATGCCTTAAAAAACGAAGTACGTCCGACTTTTTTTTACATTCTTATTCAATACCCTAAAACATGTATTCTGGAAAAAAGAACTTAAAAAATCGATAGGTTGCTAAACTAGAATTGTTCTCAGTTTCTCACGCCAATGGTGATATGTGACTACTTACAGATATCACTATATCAGTACTTATTTTGTAGTTTGTATTCTCTGTATTCAATAAGTCTATATATAGTTTAAGGAACAATTAATTCACTCTATCAATCTCCCTCACACTTTTCATTTTTTTTTTTTTTTATTATTTTTTTTTTTTGTTAGCATTTATAGCCAGTAACTATAACAGCTCAACAATTATTTCGGCTAAAGTGCAGTTTACCACCCCCTCACAATTTTTGATTTTTTTTTTTTTGAACTTACTTATATTAGCTATTTAAGAACGATGGTGCAATCAGAATTTGTCGGTCGGACTTAGTTTCGAAGTTATGGGCTCTGGAAGTTAGCAATTTTGATGAGCGCAACGCCGCGTTTATCACATCTTTTAAGATTCTTTTAATTTTTTTTCTTGAAACTTGCGTAGTTAAGAACGATGGTGCAGTCAGAATTTTAGTTATGGTTATATTATATAACGTAAAAACTACATATCTAATTAACTTATTTATACGCCTAGCGCCTAGGTTGTTGTTGTTAAATACAGTTGTTCTGTGTTCATTAGTTTTGAAGTTTTTAACTTACGGAGTTCACGAGTTTCGGTGTTTTACTCATGCTCACGGCGCTCTATTTTACCGCTCTTATAACAAATTTTTGAATTATTTTTTGGGGAAACATGTGTATTTCATTCTACGACATAACTTACCCTGTGACCTACTTGAGGTGGTGTCGCATAGCAAGTCGAGGGATATTTTTGATTTGCGGAGCGGAGCGACGGCGCCGAGGATCGTAGCGACGAGTGCCGCAAAACGTGTAATCTCTGCACATACTAAACGACATAACTTACCCTGTGACCTACTTAAGATTTTGTTGCATAGCAAGTCGAAGGATATTATATTATTTTAATTGTATGTCAATATCAATTTTCATAATAATATCAAATTATTTAAAATCGTATTTATAATTAACATATTATCTAAAATCATATTTATAATTAAATGAGTAAAAACACAAAATTTCAAATTTCAAAATTGACTACTTCGAAACGAAGTCCGACCGATGATTTCTGACAGCACCATCGTTCTTAACTCATTAATATACGCAAGTTTCAAGAATAAAGACGTGATAAACGCAGCGTTGCGCTCATGCAAAAAAAAACGCAAAATTGCTAACTTCCAAAGCCCATAACTTCGAAACTAAGTCCGATCGACAAATTCTGATTGCACCATCGTTCTTAAATAACTAATACAAATAAGTTCAAAAAAAAAAAATCGAAAATTGTGAGGGGGGTGGTAAAGTGCATTTGTTCCATTATTTCCGAAGTAAATACAATACAATACAAAAAGAAAGAAACATTTTTAATATGTACTTAATTGTATACACATATACATACATAAATTATATGGAAAATAGTACGTAGGTACCTATGCGTGTGGCACCCGCACCCTCATGCTTATATTATAACACTTCTGTGAGCTATGTATAAGTCACGAACTAAGATATCTTAGTTCGTGATATAAGGCACCTATCCTTAAAATATATAAATAAAAGAATTATACCATATTAAAATTTATTCTATTCATGAATAAAAATGAAAAATACCTACAACTATGGTTATTTATATTTTACTTAAATACCAACCTTAATACAATTTACTATTTAGTGAATTTATTACAAATTCAGTTTTTAAGCATGTACACACTGTATTTGAAGGTGAGGATAGGGGAATTCCGTTTTGCTAATCCGGTTACACTGTACGATACAATCTTTTATCAACCTGTTTTTTACATTTATTTACAACTTCAGTAACTCGTTTGCGACTTAGCGTAGCGTTCGTGTAACGTGTTGCCATTAATGTATCCTCCAGTAAAGTTTTTTATTTAATTTACAAAGTTCTTTCGATTTAATTGAAAGTCCTATACACACACACACATCGGAAATTATAATTGTATTTAACTGTCTATATTTTAAGTGAAAAATGTCGAGTTTTAAGCAAACGCCTTTAACCTGCAGCGGACACACCAGGCCCGTCGTACACTTGGATTTCAGCGACAACACCGACTATGGATATTTCTTAATATCTGCGTGCAAAGGTAATATATAAATTCCTTTGGTGCTGCTAGTATGATTTGTTTATTAAATTGTTTTTATTTATTGGTTCAGATGGAAAACCTATGTTGAGACAAGGAGATACTGGTGATTGGATTGGTACGTTTGAAGGCCACAAAGGTGCCGTTTGGGGGGTAGCCTTGAACAAAGAAGCGACAGTAGCTGCAAGTGGTGCTGCAGATTTTGAAGCTAAGGTATGAATACTATTTTTTTAATGAAATAAATAACTAGTTTCAGCCTTGAGTTTAACTTCCTTGTGTGTTATTGTTTATTTGCTTCCTAGATCATTGTACGTGTTTGTATATGGACATTGTTTTATTATTTGTTTAAATAATTAACAAAAATAAATGAATTAATTTTTTAATTTTAATAGTTATATCTATACTTAAATAATATTGACTGAAAAGTATAAAATGTACAATTATTATAATCAGTATAACCAATCAATTGATAATATTATATAACAAATAAGTCATAAGACATTAGTACAACTCTACTTAATAATGTATTTATTACATAGTTAACTTGGACTAATATGTGTTACAGGACCAAACATTATTTAGAATCAATATCTCTTTTAATATCTTGATAGTTTATATTGATTATGTCAGCGGTTCCTATCCTTTTTCATTCTACGCCCCCTTGTAAATTTACTAAAATCTCATTCCCCCTTAAATAAGAATTTAGGCAAATTTTTTTTTATAAGCCTTACAAATAAAACATACAAAATAACTATATATTATACAATACACAACTATTTACTTTTATTATTTTCATCATTTTAGAAATGTATTATAAATCAACTTACGAAGTAATAATATTAAATATAAAAAAAAAATATTGAATTTAAAAACAAAAATATTAACATAAAGTATAAATAATATCTCGGTCTATCGACTCTATTGTTATACCTAATATATAATTGTTATCTGATAATT